CAAGTTGCCCAGGTGGGTCTCGAACCTGTGGGCTCAGGCAATCCACTCACCTCAGCCTCCCAAAGCGCGGGATTACAGGCTGGGCCACCGAGCCCGGCTGAGAGTATTCTTAAATAAATATCAACTGGAAAAGTAAAAACCTGTAAGAGAAAAAGTAAAATTCTTTATCTATGCCTCAGTTAAAATTCATCTTAGACCCTGGGAAATTTTAAATACTGCCCAGAACAAAACAACACAAGAGACACAAAGAATGACTTGCTGAGCAGATTTTGCTTTAAAAACAAACAAACAAAAAGGGTAACTGTGTAAGATGTTGAACATTTTCATTTGCTTCACTATAGTAAACTTTCTGCTATCTTCAGGTATCCTAAGAAAACATGTTATATACTCAAATATACACAATAAAATGTACTTAAAACAAAAAAGAAGGACTTGCTACAAGTTGCCTAAACTTTTCTGGACCTATGCATCTTCCTCAGTGACATGAGAGGGACTTCACGTTTTCAGAGTATGATTCTAAAACGTTATAAATGCTCATTTACAAAATACAGTTTATAGACTCCCATCTTCCTGCTCACTGTCCTCTTGTCACTGAATCAGGAAGGCCTGAGTTTCAAACAGGAGTCAGGGAAACTCCTCTCTTCCTTCCAATAGTGATCGTCTCTCCAAGCTCACATCTGTATCCGGATCATATTTAAAAATTACCATCTAGAATAGACCAAAGCAGGAGTTCAAACTGTTTGCTGTTCTTGTTTGTGGGCTATTTATAAATCATAATTGTGGACCAACAAATCAGCAAAGCAGGGAAAGCGCTAATTATTTTGGATTTGGGAGGATGTGCGAGGCAGGCAGGCGGCTGGAGGACAGCTGGGGTTGCAGAGAGTGCCTGGAAGGGAAGGAATTGCACTGGGGTTGCTGGACAATGGGGGTGCTGGAGCTCCCCCCAGAGAAAACTGGTATCACTCCTGGGATGGGAGTGGTCATTTCAGGGGAAACTGGAAGGCCAATTTTGGGAGCATTTATATTCAAGAGCAAGTGCTTACATACTGTTACTAAGCCATGAAGTTGCTATGTAAATAGTAAGTTACGTAAGTAAAAGTAAATATTTCACAAGCCAGTTGGTTGGTTTCAGAAACCATGAGCTTATTTAGGATGCAGATGTGTTTAAAATACCATATCTAAATAAGAGGGAACGTCAATGCAATCCTTGCAGAATGATGGCAATGTCTATACAAAGAGCCTTTTAGGGCCACCAAGGACTAAGTGTGGACAGCAGCCCCACCTGTCAGGACAGTAGATGGACTGGTCAATTGGACAAGCACCCATTCATATGATATCCTGAGCACTGCTATGCTGCTGGTGCTAGGGACTGTGATAGATGAAACCATCTCCTTTGTATAGACAGAAGTGTTTATCAACAAGGGGCCTTTGGAAATTTGACTACAGTGGAGAATAAGAATTGCTTATCAGCAAAATTTCTTAGGTGTCCTTTGGGACAGATGGCTTTACTCTGTGCCATGACAGGATATGAAGGAAGGAGAAGATACTATACCAGTTGTAAGGAGCTTATAGAAATGGCAACAAAGAATGGAATATAAAAGAGTGAATGCCTTTGCCGTAAACCATCCCTACTCTCATGATGGTCTTTTGGCTATTTTGCTAAAGGGGGTGATTCCTCTAAGAAAGCCACCAGGATAGTAGTTTTACTTTGGAGCCATGATCATGAAGCTTATGAAGCCAGCCTTGATGAGAACTGAGAATCGAAAGTCTTAAGACAATCTCTCTTCTCCTTTCTTTTCCATTAACTTGAGAGGCGGAATAAGTGAGCAGTGGGTACAAAAGCCTGAGTGGGAAGCAGTCATAGGGAGGATTCAGCCTTGGGGCATATAACTGACATCCTAGTCATAGACCTACTGACAATGTAGGGGGAAATGGGTAATAGTTGCAGGAAGCTCTTCTTTTAAGGAACGTGGGCTCCTCATTGTTTCTAATATCTGCAGAAGGTATAGCACGTTATGGAAAATAAAACTAAAGACTTAAAGAGCTCATGGACTTGACCAATGTCATGAGAAGGTGACAAAATGGGATGAGATCTCACCTCCTCCAAGTCATAAGCCAGCTACCAGTCAGTATACAAGAGAGGGAGTAAGTATTAAAAAAGGATGAATGCCTGAGATTTAAATATCAGTTATGTCCCAGGGTAGAGGGCAATCCTCATTACAGAGTAAAGTGTTGTCCCTGTGAGGCAGAAGCTGCAGGGGACAGCTGAATGCTGCAAGGGAAAAGTCACAGATGCAAGAACAATGGGAGGAAATAGTACTGAGGACCTCCTGGGGCCTAAGAGGGCACAGCTGGGGCAGCTCTGTAACGCAGCAGCAGAAAAAGTTAAATCTAAGGGCCCAACAAGAAAAGAAAAGACCCAGAAAGGATGGGGAGGAAAGATGAATTCTCATAAGGTACCAGCACTTTCTCCTGGAGAAAAAGACTTGGTAACTGGATACATTTAATCAGCTCCCTCCACCTGGCTAAGACTTCTAAATGGCTAAATCCATTTCTAGAACTTCTTTACTTAAGGCATTTAAACATTTTGTAACTTTATAACTCTGCATGACAGATAAGAGCAAACAACAATGATGTGACAAACCACAACAGCTAATATTAATATTTATCCAATGCTTTCTAAATGTCAGGCTTAGTGCTCTACCTCATTATTACGCCCATTTTATAGATGAAGATAAGGAGGCTCTGAAAGTTGAATAACTTGCTCAACGTCTGCTATCTGGTAAATTGCAGAGCCCACATGTGAACAAAGCTTCCTGAGCAGGAGTTCCAAGCAATGGGGACTGAGGCCAGGATGCCTGTTTTCTAATTCTTACATAAACTAACTTGTGACTAGCTCTTCCTCCATTTCAAAGAATTTTCTGAGGTGTCCTGCTATTGACCAGTTTGCTGCTAGATTAGGCAGCTGGACACCCATGACCACCATGCACTCCAGGCTCATTAGAGAAAAAGGACTACTTATGCACAGGTGGCCACATGGCTCTCTGGAATTAATCTGGCTAAAAGAACCCATTTGGCAAGGTCATGTGGCCTTCCTATGAGCACTGACTCTCCTAAACAGGGCTTTGCACTTGGCACACAACTCAATGAACCCACAGCCTCAAATGAGACTGGAGAAGTAAGAAGAAAAAAAGAAAGAGAAAAGAATACTCCTTCCCTACAAGCAGCCTAAAAGATGTAATTCTGCCGACATCTTTGAAGAGGTTTGGGAAGAAAATTTGCAAATGGCATTGTATTGAGTCAAGACGTATACAGTCCTTGTCCCGGGAAAGAGATGGCAAGAACACATGCATTTACATTTTGTACAGGACCCTGGGTTCTGATTTTACTTGGTATTAGTTTTGTGATTGGGAAGGGTGATAGCAAGAAAGTCATTTTATAGATCAGGAGCTTGGAAAGAAACCAGCTCACTCTCTAGAAAATCCAAAGGATGAATCCATTCTCAATCCATTTCAAACTGAAGAAAGACATGAAAGAGAATCACTACTAGTGAGGGAAAAGCAGAGATCCTGGAGAGAGGTAGTTAGATGACTGCTGGGGTGTTTCCAAGAGTCTCAATCCAGCAGCACATGTTTTACCAATTCCGTCTCGTTTCCTGCTAAACTTTGCAAAGGCAGAGTTCATGAATCACACTGAGATGGTCACAGACCTTGTAGAAAACAGAGAAAACAAGAGGCCATGCTCCCCTGCCACAGTCATGTTCTGAAGCATAGTACCCATCTGAGGAGAGCATGGAGGGGGACCCTGGGTACCACAGTGTGTGCCTGCAGAGGACAGTGACACTTCCTGCAAACACGCCTCACTTTCTGCCTACTGAAGAGCTGCCAACAGAACTGGGGGATCTGCTAAACCCAACAGGGCAATGGGAAGGAACAGCTCGGGTGGCTACCCCTCAGATACCACAGCTGTAGCAGGAGGCAGGATGTCCCTCAGGGGAGTGCCTGGCAGAGAGGCAGCACAGGAGATTGCGCCAAAGTCAATTCCATGTGTCACATTCTGAGGTCTAGCAGGATGTTCAGGATTTTATCTTTTTTTCCTTTAAATGGAGGAAAAGAGAAGCTAATAGCAAAGGTTTCATCTTGGAGGCTTCTGAACTTTCAGGTGCTTCTAGGAGACAACACTGTGAGCTGTGATGGTCCAGGCCAGGGACCAGCATAGGAAACAATAATTAGAAAAATTCTAAAGAGACAGATAAAAACGTATCATCTAGGACGTATAAGAGGATGGAGAAGATAACCTATAAATAACTCAGAAAAAAACCATGAACAATAATGCCTGCCCCTACTGCTTCTCCCAAAGGGCTAAAGACTTCCCATACCACAGCACAACTCCCACTGGAGTAATGGCCTGAATCAAGGCTGATGGGCTGGTGACCAGAAGAATACAAGCATAAAGGGAGTTTTGCTTTGGGGGGAGGGGACTACAATGCATTAAATGTTTTATTCCAAGAGATGCTTCTCCTCACAACTCAAGGCAAGAATTGCTGCCTCTTTCCACTTTATGCAGAGAGAAGAGAGATGCTTTATGGTTATTCTAGGCCTCTGGGCTATTGTTGTCAAAGAGTGGCATGTCAACCACCTTTCAACTGTCCCCATCCCCCACCATCACAGAATTGAAAGAGCTTTCCAATTATCTTGTCTCCGTGTTATTAAAGTGCAATACAATACTACAGCATAATGTACTAACATATTACAGTACAATTCTATTATAAAACAGCCTCCTAATAACAGACTTTGTTATTCTGAAGGTCACATCATGTCCCTGTACACAAAAGGCCAATGGGGCATTGCTTTTTATTATAACACAGATGATCTCTCAAAGCAGGGTTACTCTAAAACATTCTTTCTCCTTTATGGCATTCCTCTGCCCAAGCCCTATAACAGCTCCCTATTTGCTATAGGCTGATGCCCAAGAGTGCTTGGCCCAGAGTAGACTGTAGTTTCTTGAATGGAAAGGCCAAGTGTTCATATTTGAGTCCATAACCTGCACCTTATCTATCTTTCCAGCTTCACCATCCATATGTCACACACACAAATCTTCCAAACTGTTTCACCCTTTCCTAAAGTTTCCTGAGGCCACAGCACGACTCTAGCTGCACTCACTGACAGGAATACCCTTCTCCTTATAGGGAGACATCTTATATACTTTATTTGATATTCAATTCAAGTCTCCTCCCTACAGAATCTTCATTCTGTGTTAGTCATCTGCCATTTATAAATTACTGCTTTGCACTATGAGTCATCTTTTCATATTTTCACCTTATATATTTTACAACTAGAAAATGAGCTGCTCATCAATACTGCTACAACTTGCATTTGTATATGCTTTATACCACTGTTTCTCATCCTTTAATGTGCATACAGATCATTGGAGTATCTTATCAGAATGCAGTTTCTCTTTTATTCCTGATGATGATGATGATGATGATTTTCCTTTATTTCAATGACTTTAGGGGGTACAAATAGTTTTTAGCTACATGGATGCATTGTATAGTGATGAAGAAGTCTGGGCTTTAAGTGTACCCATCACCCCCATTTGTCCACATTGCATCTGATAGGCTATTTTTCGTCCCTCCACCCCTTTCTCCTCCCCTTTCTGAGTCTCCAACTTCCATGATAACATTCTCTATGCCTTTGCAGATCCTTAGTTTAGCACCACATGTTCTCACTTATAAGAATGCAGTTTCTCATTTGGTCTGGAGCAGGAACTGAGATTCTGCTTTTCGAACTAGCAGACTGCACTTTGAGTGTTAAAGCTTTGGACTTAGTTACAAAGTCCTCATAACTCTGCACAACTTACAAGACTTTTGTCTCCTCCTTAGACTGAAGCCAAAGATACATAGAGAAGTAACCTCCTCCAGTTCACACAATAGTAGTGTCAGGAAAAGGCCCCAGTTTTTGGACTCTTTCTACCTCAGATAACTCCTTTCCTGGGGATATGCACAAACCGTCTACATTCTTTGTTTTCCTCCTGGCCTCAAGAAGAGAGCATTGCATATGGAGGATGCTTGGAAGCATTTGGCAGTTCTTCCACGTTGCTCCAATGTCTACCATGGTATTCTCTCCTTTGCCTCTGAACTAGCACACAGACCATTCCTTCTAGAGACAACATCATTTTCATTTGTCTCCAAAAATAGAATTCTTACTTTAAAACTTTAATTTTAAACCTCTTCAGAAGGCATTAAGATATGACCCCAGATGACTTTAGTCATCCTGTCTTTCTAGGGAAATACAATGACTCGCAACCTTTCTACTTCTCCAAATATCTGGCTCTCAGAAAAACCTTGAAAGCTCTTTAAAGGTACAGTTGAATATGCATTGCAGTCAACAGGTGTCAATAAAAAGTGCAAAAGTCATTTATAAGGCTAAAAACACTGCAAATAAAGAGCATTTACATTCTATATACACAGTTTCATGTATTTGTGCTCTCTTACCTATTTTTTTTAGCTTTCTAGGTAAGAACTGTTTCTTTTTGCAAAATCTCAGATATGTAGGGCTACTAGGGCCCTGATCACTTACAGAGAGGAAAATGAGCCCCAAGAGGTTAAATAAAGTCAGCTAAAATGTCATCGGTGGGCAGCGGCCGGGGCAGGGGCCAAGGCAGGGTGAGAGCCCACATCTCCTCATCCAGGGCTGCCTCTTCCTTAAGTATAATGAAGAAGCAGGGTGTGGCACAGCACCAAATACAAGGGCATTCACACAGCAGGTATTAAGTCACCGCCCTTGAATTTAATATCTGGGAAGAACACTGGGATTTAATTTTATCTGTCCTCTTATTCTCTGGTATGGATGAAGAAAGTAAAGCCCAGAGAGGTCAAGCAAACACTTCCTGGGAGCCACACAGCTGTGAGGAGCAAGTCTGCTGACCTGCAGTGGAGTGCACTTTCTGCTGCATGGCAACAATCTTGTGTATATAACATAGTTATCACGACAAGATATAGTAAGCTCCGAGTGTTCCTTTGTGTAGCTGGAAGCACTGCCCTGATTGTTGTGTATTCATGGCCATTAATAAGTGCAGACTCTGCCTGGGTTTCACGGTGTGTTTGAATTTCAAAATAAATTATATGTCGTTCAAAGAAACAGCTAAATCTAACTTTTGCATTTCAACGGCTCTCATCAAAGCATCAAGTTCAATTACACAAACACGCAGACTGACAATTCAAATCAGAATAAAACGATAATTCTTAAATTCACTGATTTTTCTTTCCTGTCAAGGACATTAGTCAAGTACAATAAGTATTTTTTTTTGTAATACTGGGAAACCTGAGAAGCCTTAAAATGACAAGATACAGAGCAGGGAATTAGAGGAGAACTTCTTGGTTAATTCATCTGGAGTTCAGAATTTATATTTATATTGCACATACCAACTATCACTATTATTTGTCCTAATTCTTCAAAATTGATAGTCTAGGAGTGTCACCTATGCAGAGGACAGTGTACCCTAAATAAGGAGGAACAAGAGCTCACTCAGCATTCCTTGGATTTTTCTTTAACCTCATGGAGTTGGGACTGGGGGAGGGTGGTAGATTTACCATTCTCAATCTCATAGTCTGCAAAGGCAAGTTCAGAGCCTTTGTTGGTGATCAGCAGCTCCCCATTCAGTGTGAAGATCATTGAGGCATCATCCAGATTAATCATACATCCGACCACATCTCCTGGCTGCCAAGTACGTCCAAAATATCCACTCCCTTGATGCCAACGCTGGCCCTAGAAAATAAGACCAAAAGGCTTAGGTAAAGGGAGGTCTTAGAAGCCCCTTGCAGCTAGAGGAATGACCATATCTGCAAGATCTCCTAAATAGTAATGACATATAATTTCTATGTGGCACTCACCTATCTACCAAGGATAACTCACAAGGAAGAATGGTCTATGTTACAAATGAATGAAAGAAACCAAGACATACAAGGCTAATCAGAAAAGGTGGGCAGAGCCCCTTGATTCCTTTTCACAGTTGTGACAATAATCAGGACTATCTCTAGGGCAAATTGGTAAGAGTCCTAACATACTGGACACATAGCATTCTACAAGTCACCTTTGGAGTATAGTCAATGGGCTCAGGTGCAAAGGCAGATATGGAGGTGAATATAGAAAGGACTTGTGTATACAGTTCCCCCTTCACCAGAGCAAAGAACAAAAAGACAATGACTAGCTGATGTTCATTCTTTGCCTAAAATTACCCAATGGTTGTGGTTACTTGCTTTGAAGCCAGAAATCCAGACACTCAGTACTTCCAACTTCCAGAAAAATGTTTGGAGAAGGAAAACCTGGACTGAGGATGTGCGGATACTATACAGACTTACCCTGCTGCCTTCAAACACGAAGGCTTGGTCATCGGCCCCCAGCTCAATGTCAGGCCGACAGCCTGGCCTGGCCCAGCCAACCCGCATGTCTCCTCCAGTCACCACTTCAAACTCAAAATACCACTTTCCAGATTTCACCGCATAAGACCGCTCTACCCGGAAAAATCGGATCTTGTCTATGCTGACTTTCTCCACAGCGGGGTCAGCTGTTGTGAGAAGGAAGATGAGTAGAGGGTGTAGGAGGGAAAGAGAGAACACAGACCTTTAAAAATTAGGTAACATTCCTCAAAAGAATTTAATGACAACAACCCAGACTGGTCATAGATTGCCCACTATATAATATAGCAATCTCTTCATAATCCATCATCATCATCATAACAACACAAAATACCATTTACTGAGTAATTACTTTGTAGTAGATCCTTGAAAGACCATAACAATTTTTCCTTACAACAATCCTATGAGATCAGCAATACTGTCTATTTTACAGAAGAAAAATAATTGAGAGTCAGAGAGGCTAAGTCACTTATTCAAGATCACAGAGGCAATAAACTGAGGAGCAAAGATGTGAACCAAGGTCTGAATCCAAAGCCATCCCTTAACCACTTATAATATTGCCCCTGTGGCCAACTTCCTGGATTTAAGGCATCAAGCCTCGGGATGACAATGACATATTCATCAATTATAAGTTGATGATTTCAAGCAGTGCTACAGTTTAATTTGGAGATGTGTATGCTTATCCAAAAGCAAATGTTGGAAAATAAGAGAAAAAAAGGTGACCTTGTTTTGTGACAAAGTATCCTGAAAAGCTCACCCTGGAAGATAATGTATACCCTCTGGGATTAAGTCATAGACATGCTCATTGCAGAAACATCTGCCAATGGGATGATGTTTTATATCAAACATAGTTTCCCCACTTTAATAAATATTCCATTTAGTGTAGTGCTCTTCAGCATAAATATAATTTCTAATAATAAAGTTAGACCTATTTAAAGTTAGCATTTCCCCAGAAGAAGACCTGTTTAGTAAACTGGGGCCAGCAAGAACAACCTCAACTCGTTACCTAGTTCTTGGTCTGATGGCTCAATGTTGTACCCGTAACCAACAAAAGTGCGCACAGCTTCACGCAGACTGTCCCTGTTTGACTTCTTGGTCCGCTCGTCCAGTAATGCATATGGCACCAGACGGGGATTTCTCTTGTTCTTCAAATCCTACGTGAAGCCAGAGAAAAGAAGTGCCAAGAAAACAAAATTCACCTTTACCATAGCTCATCCCACTCACATATTCCCAGCAACTGTCCTGGCTTCCTGGCTGGCTCTTACTAGTCTATTAGTCTTCCCCTAGTGCCTTGATATTTAGTGATGTACATATTTGCCACTTCTCTTCAGGATTAAATGAGTATAAATGGAAAAATTTTACTAATGCTCAAAGCTAGTATGAAAAAACACATTTTAATAATGCCAGCCTGCGGATAAAATGAAGCTTCATGAAATTGGTTAGAAACCTCCATTCCCAAGGCAAGGCAGATGGGGATTTGCGTAACTATTCCCCATAGAAGACCATGCCATGATTTAAGCTGTTACAGTCTCCTCACAAAACAAGTCTTCACAGAGGAACATCAGAAAATGTGGCAGAACCACACTGGGTCCATTTTATTGCAGCAGGTATATACATTTGTAGTAGAGTCTTTCTCAGTTTCTTAGGAGGAGCTAAGAAGACCATAAGGGCAAACGTAGTGAAAAGTCACCCAAACTTATATGTATGACATTTATATTTCTTAACTCCCCCACCCCACTATGGTTTCCATAGTTGTATTGTTCCTGGCTTTCAGATGTGTGCAAGCATGGAGGTTCCAGTATGAATTAACTCATGTGTACACAACCACTCCTGAACTTCCCTGATATTAACCCTATCACTGGTGATTACTAAGATGAGGGAAGCATTTCAAGGAAAGAGCTATGTCACATGGTTTGGGGCTGAATCTTGGCTCTTAATCCTACCTACTTCCTTGCTGTGCCCTGGCTCTCAGGCTGTCTCCTGCTCAAAACAAGAACTCCACCCAGGATCCCTGGCCCAATGGACTGAAGTAAGAGAGCACAGGCTTCTGGTCAGGCCAGTCTGCCTCTCTGCTGGGCTAGCTTCTCCTCCTTTCCACCCTGAAAGGGAGATGCGTGGGACCATCCCAGAAATATTGCTTATCTATGAAGATGATTTGTGTGAGCCCTACCTTTGCCTTGGAGAGTGACATAAAGGCTCAACTCTCCACAATGCAAGCAGCAAGGCAAGGAATGAGATAAGATGTAGCTCGTGGGCACATAGTCAGGGAAGCACATATTGTGAGTAAATCAGACTAACAACGGGATAGGAAAGCCTATCTCTTTCTACAAGGTTGGAATTATGCCTGGAGTCAAAGTCAATGTGACCATTACAAAGTCTGTCCAGCCCCACAAGTCCATAAATAATGAACACGTTGCAATGTGAGGGATAGAGGGCAAGGGCAACCTCTACCTTCCAAACTAACACCCACCAAGCAAAATGACATTTGGATGGATGATTCCATCCTCCAACTTTTTCAGCATCCTCTAACTTAGCACGTCTCACCTGTTGAATGCCATAGGTCCATCCTTGTTTTATTCTGTCTTTTGCCCAAACATTATGTGCATTTTCTGCAAGCTTATCCACTAAAATTTCTTGAGGAGGCAACAGTTTCACATCAGACAAATCCAAAGGGGCTGGCTTATAGCCATTGGACATCATGTAGCTATAAGTAAATGCAAAAATATATATTTTGAATTGATCCATATGACTCTCCAATTCCAGATTTTAGGTGAAGAGCTCATGGTAAGAACATGATATAAATGCAGCTACAGTCAGACGTTTCACCCTGGCTGAATGGACAGCTCAGCTCTACTTCAAGTAATGATGACACCTGTGTGCGAAATCGATCTGTACCCAAGAGTGGCATGTGTGACAGCAAACAAGCAAGGGAGCCAGTGGATGAGCCACTGAGCAGGTGTTTAAATGTGCAAAGATGTATGATCCTGTCTAAATGTAGGGAGAGAGGGAGAGTAGGACACTAGCAAATATAAGAGGTCAAATTAAGTCTTGGTCTAGACATTCAATCCATAAGGGATTTACAAGACTGGTTCAGTGTCAGAGGAGTGACTCTTTGCTGTGGCTACAAACTATTTTTAAGCTCTTGTGTCCACTGCTACTCTTATAGACTGAAGACAGTACATCCACCTGAGGTCTCAGTACATTCTGGTTCAACACGAACGATAATAGTGTGATGTCCAGGCAGAAGCAAAAAGAGGAAAAACTGAAATACTTTTCATCAGTCTTCTAGATGAGGGTTTCAGTGCTGTCTAAGTAACTGGGGGAGCCCTCCAAAGCTGGTGCCAGCAAGTATGTAGGCCGTTGTCTGCCTTGGTATGTGGGACTCTCACCCTCCCTGTTTACAAATTCAGGCTAAAGCATTAAAACCTCAAGCCATTAAAAAAAAACAAACAAAAAACACCTACTTTTTGGGCAGTTTGATTTTCTTGAGATCTTCCTCAGCAGCTGGATTAACATGAGCAATATGGCACCCCAGAGCCAAGAGGGTTCTGTAACATAACAGAGGGAGAAGACCAAGGTCAATTGCAAGATCAAGGATAGCAAGAACCCTACCTCAAGAGTGGGTTGATGAAATAGACAACAGCCATTCATTTAGACCAAGGGTCAGCAAACTCCTTCTGGAAAGGGTCAGAAAGTCAACATCTCAGCCTTGTGGTTCATACCTCTCTTTTGCACCGAAAGCTCTCTATTACAGAGCATAGGCAGCCATAGGCAAGATGCAAACCAATGAGCCTGACTTTGTTAAAATAAACATTTATTTACAAAAATGGGTAGCTGGTCTGATTGTTCCACAGGCCATAATTTACCAGCTCCCAATGTGGATGATAGCAAGCATAAGAATACAAGAAAGAAGTTTGTTAATTGCCCTTCTTGGAGATATTTTCTAGTTTATAATTTGCATTAGAATTGCATGCTGCTCATAATTCCATGGAACAGAGAGGACCCTAATATCCAATCTGTGGTCAAATATTTACTGCATGATACCTGTACAGTGCCTTAAGTTGTATGTACACCATGAGGTACAAAGCTGTACCTTCAAAACGTATCAATGTAATTGAAGATATCATATACTTGAGCCTATGAGACAAGGTACCTTACAGAGCATTTATATACCAACAAAAGTACACTGTTAAAATGTTCCGCACTGACAACTAGAGAGCAGAAAAACACAAAGACAAAGTGACATGTAATAAGCCCCAAAAGAATTTAAAATGGGAGATACCACTATGGGCTAGAAAAGTTAGAGTCCAAAGTAGGCCCATGGGTGGAATCATGGAGAAGCTAAAAGTTGTTTTAATATATATAAAACTGAATTTCAGTGAATCAAACACACGTTCCCACTGGGTTTTAGAAATAATTTATCTTGATTTAATGTGAATTATAGGAGGCACTTGGTATCTTGATTCTAAGTTTCTTCTCACTTTTCTTTCTGCCACCTACCTTTCCCCTGCTCTTAGTAAATAGCAAATGGTTTCTAAAGACACATATACACTCAATAATAATAGTGGATGGGTTATTCACTAAGCTAAAGTTTTTGTGACATGAATAATCATCATTCCCTCTAATTTATCAGAATGGGCCATGTTTTCAGGTAAGAGATACACCTTTACAGTTCAGTTATAATGTATTAAATCATCTACTCACTGTTTAGTCCAACTTCAACTCAATTAAACACTCACTTTAAGGTTTCAGTTGACATTTGCAGGTTATAATTCTTCTCGGTTTCAGGGAGCTTTGAAAACTCCACAAGGCATGGATGTTGTCTCTTATTGTCATCTCGTATCTAGGTGACAACATAAGAAAGAATGTGATTTAAGTTTTGACAGCTGGCACTGTACTGGAAAACAGAAAAGAACACACTTTGAAACATGTTCCAGGCAATCCATATCAAGGAAGACAAAGATGGCAACTTGCTGATAGGCAAACTTATTATCTTCTCTCTAGTAAATGATACATATAGTTGTTGATGGCTTGTGTTCTGTGGATTTATTTCTAGACAGGTGTTTGCATGTAGAACATACTTTCCCAGAGAGATAATTTTGCATGTGGTAGCCATGTTCTTGGTTGTCCAAAATTCACATAACCATAATGTTACTGAAGGGTAGCATTCTTCAGTACATAAAGGACTACAGAATGCAAACCAGCACTGTCCAATATTGATGCAAAGTCAGTCACTGTTACAAACCATATTTGTAATTTCAAATTTTCTAGCAGCCACATTAAAAAGGCAAAAAGAAATAATATTAAAACTGCATTTTATTTAACCTAATAAATGCAAAATATTATCAATGTAACAAGTAATCAATATAAGAAATTCTAAGATATTTTACGTTATTTTGTCATACTAAGTCTTCAAAATCTGGTGTGTAATTTTTTTTTTTGAACCAGAGTTTCACTCTCTCACCCAGGCTGGAGTGCAGTGGCTTGCTCATGGCCACCCCAAACGTTGACCTCCTGTGCTCAGGCCATCCTTTCACCTTAGCCTTCCAAGTAGCCGGAACTATAGGTGCATGCTATCATGCCTAGCTAATTATATATATATTGAGGTCTCACCAAGTTTCCAGGCTGATCTTGAATCCCTGGACTCAGGCAATCCTCTTGCCTCAGCCTCCCAAAGTGCTGGGATTTCAGGTTTGAGTCACTGGACCTGACCTCTGGTGTGCATTTTACATCTCTGTCTGGACTAGTCACATTTCAAGTGTTCAGTAGTCAAATGTGGGTCAGGGCTTTGTATTGAACAGTGCAGATCCAGACACTGAATACTTCATTTATTCATTCACCAAACATTTGTTAAATGCCTGTATTATATGATAGGCACTGAGCTAGACATGAGGAGTTCAATGTTGAACCCACTCACATACAGTGAGATGATTTTATGGCAACTATATAAATATACAAGTGTGGAAGTACAGGGACCTTTTTAGTAACTATGCTGGAATGTATGTCATTTGAGAGCGTTGAGGTCACAGGAAGCTTCGGAACTCACCTATCCTCCTGCCTTTAGACATGACCTTCCACAAATCACAGAACACGATCAATTTGTATCCTCTTTGAAAAATGGTTTCTAGTGAAAGTTTCCCTATCCTCTTCTGATTGGCTATTAATCTTAGTGTTACATTTGAAAACCATATTAAACCACTTCTGATTCCAAACAGTGAATCAGCTGCTTTTCCCTGCCTGGGCAGAGAGGTCCATCTTTTCTGATGGGAAAAGGAAAGCTATGAATGTTCTGAAGGAAATGTTGAGGAATGACAGCACCCAATATTTCCTAAATAAAGGAAATTAATATTTGGGAGTAAGAAGGGAAATGGACTCCTGGTTCTATCTGTGAAGAGCTGGTCTCCTCAATGCTCCTGGCAACTGAATGCAGTGAAAAGCAGGCAGGTGGCAGAAAGGAAGGAACGAATTTTGGCTCATGAAGTTCCTGTGGTCATTTGAGCCTCTGAAGATCCCTTCCAGGTAACAAGGCAATCCAACCCTTCTCCCCTGCCCAGTCACTGAAACACACACCTTGCCAAAAGTCCAGCCAAGCTCTATTTTATTCATTCCCCAAAGCTCGTGGATGTTTTCAGCCAGTCTGTCTCGGATCTTCTCCAGGTGAGGTGGCAAAACAACCTAAAACAAAAGGAAGAAGTGAAAAGCCAGAACTATATGATCATGTATTGAAAGGCATGAGAAAATCTCCAGGGGTGGCCATTGCCTTATTCAACTCTGGTGTGGCCATGTGCTCTTTGAGCTATCTATGGTTGTTGCCATGTTTCCTGGCTTTGGCCCTCTCCCCTACCTTGGGGAGGTGAAGTTCCACTTTTTCTCTCTCTAATTTATTTTCTAAATAAATTCTATTTTTTCATATAAAAAAAAAAAAAAGAAAATCTCCAGGGGTTCAACTGCCCCATTTGGATTCACTGGCTCGTCACCCAGGAAGGGCTGCATCACTACAACCTCACCCTACTTGTCCTTTGTGTTTCCAGCTTCTTTTCCTACTTCCTCTCTACTCCTTGTTGCATCTCTGGCTCTCCCCTCTGTCTTCTCTTCGGGTATCTATGTTGCATGTCCTTCACATGTGAATATTTCCCTCATCCTATTTCCTCTGACTTCGTGTTTTCACCCGCCCACATCTGGAGACAATCACTTCCAAGTGGATGCATCTCTAGTCATGGTCTCTGTTGAGGTTCAGACTCACAGTTCCAACTGTTTGCAGAAATTTTTCTGTTTGCAGAAAAATGATTTCTGTTTGCAGAAATCAAAGTGAGTTCAATACATTATCGAAAGTAAATTCATTATCCTTCCATTAAAACAACAACTTCTTCTCCATCTTCTTCTCCCCTCCCCTGTTCTTCTATTGTTGTATGACACCTAACCATCACTTCAAACCTGGAAGTTATCCTGTTCCTTTCCTCTTCCTTAGACTCTCCTCTTGTCTTTCTTCTCCATGTAATTAGTCATGAAATCTACCATGTTTATTTCCCAAGTGTCTTTCAGAAAGATCCTCTCCCTTTTCATCACTCAACCTCATTATTTTTTCCCTGGACTACAGCAAGAGCCTCATAATTGGTCTTTCTAGCTCCCTACCTCTCTATCCCCCACACTGCAGCTAGAGTGACAAGTCTAAAACAACAAAAAATCACATCACATCAAAACACTCTCCTGAATATCCCCCAGTGTTCCTGAACACTCCTAACACAAGATTAGATGTATTAATCAACAACACAGCGCCCTTCTTGGGTTTTCACATCATGGTCTCCACAAACACATCCTTTCCAAACTTCTTGAAATTCTCTCAAAAGACCTGTTTAACAGCCCTGGCAAACACACTCAGTATGAATTTTTCTATATTTTGCTCAAGTGTCACCACTGTTGAGAAGTCCCCCCTGATTACCTCCTTACCTTCAGGGAGAGTTTCTCTGTGTTTTCCTAGTGTTTTGCTCCTATCTCTTCACAGAGGCCATAAACTAGAGACCCAAGTTTTTTCTTTTTTCCTTCTATTTTCTTTAATTTATTATTATTATTTTCATGTTTATTGGATAACAATTTCCAAATGAGAGATTTCATATAAAAATCCACTTGGAAGATGGCTAAGAAGGATTCATAATTCTGCCTGGCAACGATCAGCTGGAGCTAACTAACTGTCCATTTCAGGATGAACTGCATGCTTAGGCTTCTTCTCTTCTGCATCACCTGCCTGGTCCTTGCAATTTCTGTCCTGTTACAATAATTATTGGTGTTTCCACTGTTTTAAAAAAAATCTCAATGTTTGAGGAGGAGTGGGGGGAGCCCATGGAGAAAATATTTTGTAGAAAAAGTACATAAAGTTTGTGATATATAATAAGAGCATAGAGAAAGTGGCAATAAAATATGCATTTAACCTTTATTTGTTTTTCAATTAAGAACTTAAAAAACACTGTAACTATTGAAAAGTCAAAATTAATACAGTCATATCTTAGTATCTGTTGAAGATTGGTTATAAGATCTCCCCTATCCCATACCAACATTTGCAGATGCTCAAGTCTCTCATATAAAATGGTGTGGTATTTATAAATAACTTACAAGCATTCTCCCATATACTTTAAATCATTTCAACATTACTTACAGTACAATATAAATGCCATATAAACAGTTTTTATCTTGTATTTTTTACATTTGTATTTTTTATTTTCCAGAATATTTTCCATCTGCAGTTGGTTGAATTTGCGTATGCAGAATCTGCAGAGGGCTGACTGTAAGTTCATGATTTTCTTTTCTCTTTCCTTCCTTCCTTCATTCCTGTTTCTTAATTACTTTCTTTCTTCCTCTCTTCCCCTCCCTCTCTCTCTCTCTCCCTCTTTATCTCTTTATCTTTTTCTTTTGTTGGAAGGTCTCACTCAGCAGTACAGGAGGCTGACATGCAGTGGCATGAACACAGCTCACTGCAACCTTGAATTCCTGGGCTCAGAAGATCCTTCCACCTCAGCCCCTCCAGTAGCTGGGAATGTAGGTATGCACCTCCATGCCCAGCTAATTTTTTTATTTTTTGTAAAGATGAGGTCTTACTGTGCTGCCCAAGTTGATCTTGAACTTCTGGGCTCAAATGATCCTCCTGCTTTGGCCTCCCAGAGTGCTGGGATTATAGGTGTGAGTCACTGTACTTGGCTGCATGATGTTTTAATAAGAAGTATAATGAGGGAAATGTGTAGCAAATGATTTACAACTGCATTTGGATTTTACTGTTTCACTAAAATAATCTGTTTAAACTAAATGCTCCTGAGTTGATCACAACCTGAAGGTAGATTTGCAACAGAAGGAATGGCTTAAATGAGAGGGGAAAATGGGATTACTGTGGAAAGAGCCCTCCACAATAACCCTAAATCAGAAATTCAATGAACTCAACTGGTGACAGAGTAATACTGACTTGATAATTATCTCCTGAGAGTATAGAGCCCACAGGGAAGACTTCGTGAAAATGGGTTTTTTTGTCCTAGTACCTAGGAAGGGGCTAGGGTAGAGCCTAGACAGTGATATAGTTAGGCCAAGCTCTAAGTACTCTAGCTAGTTAGAGATACTTAATCCACAAACTGATTAATGTGCCTCAGGGAGAATAGAGATTTGACTTTGTGTAAGGATCTCCTAGTTAACGTCTCCTTTGACAATGATTTCACAGAACAGTAGATTCTAAAACATTGCAAGGTCTTATTCACGATAAGGAATTCCACCTTTCCAATAAGAACTTCCCTATTATTTGATCTCTTAAGAAACATTTCCCTAGTTCCAGGATCCACCCAAATTCAGCTTTGGCTCCAGACTTTAAAGTTCTTCTGGCTTGTGGATTTATCTCTGCTCTTTGGTTTCCAAATCTCCAATTTTGCTTGTTTAGAGAACACCTCTCATCATTGATCAAGCGCTGCTTTCTTCCTCCATAAAATTTCCCTCATTCTTTTGAATTCTTTTTGAGGCCAGCTTCTAGGAAACCTTGTCTGAGTAACAGACATGTTTTGGATTACTTAATAAGGAGAGGCAGCCCAGAGAGGAGGCACACTCAATGCCCCTGCTCTCTACCTGCTTTAGCACTAGTATCCCTGTGTCCTCAGAGAAGCTCCTTCAGACTTTGGCACTCAAGTTTCTTGTCTATGAAGGAATCTAGAATATGCTACAGTAGTGTGAGAATTATTTTGAGATGAAGACATTTGAGAAACAACGGATACAGGAAAGAGCTTTTTCTGAACCCCTCTTATCTGCCTAAAAAAACCAGCCTCCCCAAAGAATTCAACTGTTCATCTCCAGGAAAGATTCACTCTCATTCAGAGAAAAGTCAGCTCCACACCTAAACAGATAGAGTTACAAAACTATCATCTCTCCCATCTATTCATCTTAGGAACCATTTATCTTTCCCAAAAGTCATTTGTTTTATCAGAAATGCACTTCTCTCCTTCCCCTTTCCCTACTACAATGGTATACAAGCTCCAAATTCCAACCTCCTCCCTGAGTTACATTTCTTGAACTCCACACTAGGTGATTACAATCTTTTTTTCTCTTGCTAAACATACTAGATGATTAAAATCTGTTTTTTTCCTTCTTTTGTTAATCTGTCTACCTGAGTTTAATTCTCAGACCCCCAGAAACAGAACCTTGGAGGGTATAAGAGAACTTTTTCCTTTTTGACAACTAGAATACACAGAAACAAGACTATCAATTCCTAGGATCACCTCTAGCTTACAAACTCCTCTCAGTTTCCTATCAAGGTTCTCAACTTCTGCCCCCCACATTCAAGGTGCTGTACTAGGTTCCATGAAGCAGGCAGAGAAATGCTGCAGTTTCTAGTCAATGGAAATTCACAATCATTAGTTGCAGGAGGTAAGAAGCAAACACATGAACACATACACTCAGGTGAATGTAATAGGGTCATATAAATATTATGGGAAAATACATTCTAGTGACATTTCTATAGGCTAAAAGAGCTATATTACACAAACTATTATGACCCCAAGTGCCTTGGAAGCAAGGTCTCTTTTCATTTATTTTTTCTAACATCTAGAATAGTGATTCAAATAGCCCAGGTGTGTCGGAAATGTTGAAAGCTCTGGCATGCTCCTTGTCATTCCCTGTTTTGTGCACTTTTGTTTTCCAACTCTTCCCCTGTAGGTTCCTCCTCTTCCAAGCATCCAGCGATATGAGAACATCCATTGCCACCTGTCTCCTCTTGTACTTTGTGTTGTTACTTCTAATCCCTTATCTATCCCATTTCCCTTACATCACTCCTGGGTGCCTCCCATTTAAGCTTATTAAAGGCTCAGACCAAATTCCATCCTCTCTACACAGACTTCTAGAAGAATTCTAGCTTAAGGGATGTCTCTAGCATTTACCTGTGCATGCTGCTGATTTTGTGTTTATTACATTTGGCCTTTTAAAAATTAATACATTTACTGCTTACTTTAGCTTGGCTGCAAATTCCCAGATAATACAGAAATATTTCTGTTCATCCTTCACGGAGTACAGCACATGTAGTAGGTGCTCAACATGTTGACTAAGAAATCTTTAAAGAGCTGAATATGTGCAAATGATGTGAACATGAAGAATGATGGTTGTCCATATTATACAATAATTCTATAGAATGTATGGGGAGAATCATTCAAAGATGACATAAAAAGAAGAAAAACGTAACTCTATTGCTTTATCTATGTAGGTTGTGCCTGTTGACAACTCACACCTACCTGACTGGTATCTATGGGGCATGGGGTGAAAGAGGCTTGGGAGAGGAACTGGGTGGTACCCAACAGATCTCTAACGCCTTCGGCATCACGTTTATATTCTTTGACAGGCTCCAATCTCATCTTCTCTTTTGGAAGTAAGGCTTCATAGCAAGGGGCATAGCCAGAGGGAGGCAGGAACTTGAATTCTCCATGACGTCCACCCATTAGGAAACGTACTCTGTGTTGTTTGAAGAGAGCAGGATTAGCGATGGCAAAAAAATTCACCTGAACCCAGAAAGTTGAGGCTGCAGGGAGCCATGATTATGCCACTGCACGCCAGCCTGGGCAACAGAATAAGACCCTGTCTCTCTTTCTCTCTCTCTCTCTCACAAAATATGTATTCATATATATATATTTTTTCCACATACATACCCTAGCCCAAATAAGTGCCAATTAAAGATCAGTCCTCACTCCCAGGCCCAAAATAATTTTACTGAGAAATAACTGTCAGTTGACCCATAACAGCTAAGCACTTCAACATTTATTTATACATACATTGTTAGGTTTTAAAAATGAAGTTTATCTTAACTCCAGTAGGTTAAGTAATGACTATATATTACTACAGCACTGCAAAAGTAATAGTGATAATGATAAGATTATTCTCTGTAAAGATCATATTAAAATTACAGCATGAGAACTTCAACTCTTCTTACTTGAAAGAGGTTACTCACAAACCAATGAAAAAACATGATGTAACTCTCTGAGGAAAATAGAAAATTCTTTCCTTAAGGTTCAGGCAAACAGATTAAGTAACACTAGAGTATTTAACACAAATTGTATACGTAGCTGAAGATACAATTTAATAGAAATGAGGCTGGTTTCGGTGGATCAGCCTGTAATCCCAGCACTTTGGGAGGCCGAGGTGAGTGGATTGCCTGAACCCACGGGCAAGACCCACCTGGGCAACTTGACGAGACCTCATCTCTACAATAAATCAAAAAATTAGCTGGGCATGGTAGCGTGCGCCTGTAGTTCCAGCTACTTGGAAGGCTGAGGCGGAAGGATCGCCGGAGCCCAGCAGGTCAAGGCTGCGGTGGCCGGGAGCGGCCACTGCACTCCAGTCTGGGCAACAGAGTGAGACTCCAACTCAAAAAAAAAAGAAATGATACAATGCAAAGACTGAAGTTCCTCAAAGTAGCCATACGAGGACAACTGTGAGGAGATGGCCATGGCTGCATGGAAGCAGATGAGCACCAAGTGTTTGCTCCTCAGGATGCCAGTGTCTTTCTTAGGGCCACCATCCCCCTGTCATCACCCAGACCTGACACCCAAGTCCATCCTAGCAGTGCCCACTGGGAGCTCCCAAGGAAGGGGGAAGGACACTTAGAGGTCCACGGTAAGGGTAGGCAGGCACTAATCACCAACACACAGAAAAGTCTTTCAATAATTTAGTTTGGCATTCTGGCTGAAAATTAGTCTTGTGTATACAGGTTAGGATTCGAATTAGCTCCCTAACCACTCTACCACCCACAAGAAAGAGAAGGTGAAAGGGAACTATTTCAAAATGATACTTCATACAATCCCAGATTTGTCATCAGATTATAGTTTTCACAATCAACAGCCACCACATTAAATTGGTGAGGAAATATGACCACAGTTTTAAATAATTAAAACACAGCAAGATATGCAGCCCTGTAGGTTTAAGAATAATTGTACACAGGAAAATATATCAATACATACATAGAGCCTGCAGATAACACTCATTCCCTTTCCCCTCTTCATCAAACACATTTACGGAACCCCTACAACTCTACTCGTCTTTGCACCGGAGATTCAACAATGAGCAAGATGTACAGTATCCCTGGTGTCACAGAGCAGGTATTTTTGCAGGCAAATAGGCCTAATTACCGATTAGGAGACATCTGATGAGGGAATACAAAGGGAGATGTGAAATGCCTCTGGGAAGGGGGTGGCTCCTATAGATGGTGTCAAGGAAGGCCTCTCTGAGGAGGAGACATGTGAGTTAACCCTGGTGGAAAAGGAAGAGCCAATGAGTTCATGAGCTGGAAGAAGAAGAGCATTCCAGGAAGAAGAAGAGCATTCCAGGCAAAAGCCCTGAGATGGGAAGAGCTTAGACAGATCAGAGAAGAGAAAGGAGTGTGGTATGGGTGTGAACACCATGAGCCTGAGGTACAAAAGACTGAGGCAGGAGGGATAGGGCCGTCGCAGTCAAGGTCTATGAGTCCTGGCAAGGAGTTGGGATTTTATCCCAAGCGGGAAGCTGCTGATGGGGTTTACCGTGAGAAAATACAAGATTCTTCTACCTGCCCTATGTAGCTGGTCTGAGGACCAATTAGGAGGCTCTTAAAGTAGGCACAGGGAGATGTGGGTGGGTTGGACCAAAGTGATCCAAGAATCCAAACCCAGTTTTGTTTTGGAATTAGAATTGCAAAGAATTGCTATGGACTGGGTGTATGTGTGCAAGGGGATGAAGTACATGGAATAAGGTTCTGATTTAGCAAGGCTCATACAGCAGGACACTTTGCACTGGGCCTCTTCCGTTAATTGGGAAGTGAGGGTGGTCATACAACAGAGTCTCAGTATTGGCTGCATAATTGTGATTATGGAAATGTCCTAATTAGGAAACTGGAAAAAGAAAAATCTCTCCGAGAGATGCTAAGGCTTTTTTTTTCTTCCTTCCCAAGAAGAACAGATACTTCATCCAAACAGCATTTTATAAAATGCTTTTTTAAGATTAATTATAGAAATCATGTGAAGCCTCCCACCTCCCCCTTTTAGTAACTAAACAATAATGATATAGAATTAGGACCACAATTGTCTCGTGTGATGTTCCTGCATTAAGCATTATGTAATAGGGCATGATCTATGTGTATTGAGAATTTGAACAATGAAATTAAAATGAAATTGAGTCATTAGCTTGCAGTATTACTAATTTAGTGAACCTTCAGGAAATAATGACTAAGCCTTAAAATTATTTGTTGAGAACTACCCAATTCAATTGCAACATAACAGATTGTGTTACTGACATATTGAAGTCACAAGATAAAATTGGATCTTTTTGAGAAAAGAATTAGTGTGGGAAATTTTCTGCCTCTCTCTCCTCATTGAGCATCCTTCCTGTGAGAAGCTGAGTGCCTTGTAGCTTGTACAGCAAGTATATTCTGTTACTCACTAGCATATGGATTCCAAGAACAAGTAAAATGGTCTCTTATGAGGATTTCTAGAGGAATTTAATTATTTATGAGCTCTCTTGCCAGTTTCAAAATTTCTTTTATGTTTGAAAACCTGCTGGCTAGATAACAAATCAAGAAAGGTGCAGTTCCTGGGAGCACTTAATGTGAACAATGCTTTCTGTTTTTATATTCAGTTATTAAAAGGAGGGCAATAATTTGGTTATAAATCTTAATCTCCTCTCTCCTAATGGTCATGAAGACTGTAAAATGAAAAATTAACACAGGCAGAAAAGTGGTTCCTGCTACTGAAGAACTGGGCTTTAAACATCATCATGCTGTGCCTCAGTGGGTAGAAGGAAAGGTCCCAGATTACTTTGGAAGTCACGCCACATAAGAATCCTTGTGCTTCCAGCAGGTAGGATTGAACAGGCGTTGGTCCCAGGCACACCCACCATCTGTGGCTTCCTTTCTTGCTGGTCCTGAACAGCCTGCCCAGAGTCTGTGGGAAGGGATCTAACAAACTGCCACCACTATTAGCAGTCTCTCCCAGAACTTGCCCTGGAGATGCAGATTGACCAGGCTAATGGAAATAGCTAGGAATAAAATTTAGTTTAGAAGGGAACAACCAAAAGAAGGAAATAAATACCTGAAACCCACTTTAATTATTTGAGTATACTGAAGTGGGCTCCCTTCTTTTCTCAGAGATTTGGCAGAGCTCCCAAATGTAGACCTGTGAATCCATAACTCAGAGGACGACAAATATTTTCACATCCTAAAGTGAAATGCTAGGTTCACAATGCAGGGTATACCAAAAAACTGTGAAATTGGTTCTATCAGCCTCAGCCCACCACACACCTCTAGAAGGATAAGGGATATAATTCATCTGGAAAGAACTGTCAGGGAGAGAGGGAGGGGTGTTCCCTCCCATCTGAAACCAAATGATGAGGGCTTCAAGGAACTACTCAGAAGCTTGACAAGTGTCCCTTGGAGTTTAGTGAGAGATACATTTGCTTGGTGACAGAAGAGAGAGCACGAGAAGGGCCACAATGGAAAAAGAGATGCTCTTTACTCAGGGTGACATCAAGGACTGTGCTCCCTGGGAAGCCAGATATAAGCTCCTCAAATGAGTCCACTGTCAGCCATCTTGAAAGGGACTCTGCCCAGAAAGGTAGATGACTGAATAGAGATCAGAAACCCAGTGGCTAGCAGAAGTGGGAAGGGGAATGTGGAGGGAGGTTTGGGATCAGCAAAGGAGGCAGCCAGCAGATGTGGTAAGGTTTGTGTCAAAAGAACGCTCGCAGCCTGAGGGTCACTAAGAAAACTACAAAAGAGATCCAGAAGAGAAAGAGGCAGCAATTGTACAACACTTCACAAAGGCCTGGTGCTGCACAGACTCCATAGGATGTACCCATCCTCCAGTCTTCTCTTCTAGTGGTTCAACTCCAGAGGGGTCTGCATCAGGAACTGGCTAACCCGGGAGGAGGCTGACCAGTGGGGAGGCTGACCAATGGGGAGAAGGAACCTGCAGCTGACTTCATACTGCAGGCCCAGGTTTGAGAGGGCTCAAACCTTAAACTGGTTACAAATTGGGATTTTATATATTTTTATATGAATAGGTGGAACTTTCAAGTTACTTACAAAATTGTTCTTGTTCCTAAAATGAGCAGTAAAGGCTACATGACCTTCCCAAGAATTTATCCAGAACCAGAAGTCAAGAGCATGGATTTACAGAAGGGTTGAAGGAGAAAAAAATAAAGTTCTCCTTATCCAGTCTACTTCTCTCAATAAATATTTTAGCTGGCACTTAATGTTTATTTATCTTTTAAATCCTTTACCTCATTCACAAATAAAAAATGTTCAATTGGAATGTAACTCTCTCTTTTCTGGGTGTTTTCTTCCCTGCTTCTTGAGTTTTACTGAATCTATCAGCATCCTCAAAATGTTAAATTTAAAATAAAAAAGATAATTTAAAAATTGAGTCCATTAAAATCAGTTTTTCTTTATCCTCAGATTTTTCTCTGCATTAATGGATTTTAAAAATCAA